CAATTTAATTTTTGTTAACTAACATATTATATTAATTTAATTTTTCTTTACTATATTGTTTGTATTAATTAACATAATATATTATAAAAGATCTGTTTTAATTACCAAATGAAATATTATAATTGACTAATTTTTCAAAATGTCTTTTTTGATCATTTTACATTTTTATCAGCTAGTTTTTATCAAACATGACTTGTTAATTAGCTAGCTTATGAGCTAGTTTGCCAAACATAACCTAAATGCTCGTTTGGTTTGATGGAATATTTTTTAGGGATTTGGATTTTATGGAAGGATTTAAAATCTTTTTTGTGTTTGTTTTTATTGGATTTGAAATGAAATTGAATTCCATTCTTTATAAATATTTATAAAAACTTAAATTACCTTTTTTATTAATTAATTATTACAAAACAAGTGGTTTTAACATATTTTAAAATATTATTACAAACAAGTCCTATAAAATCTTGCAAAATATCAACTACCCTTATAAGATTTCTAAATCCCATATTTGTGAGATTTCAAATCCAAACATTTCTACAAACCAAACATAAGATTATGATGAAATTCAATTTAAATTATGTAAATCCTATTAAATCCTATCAAATGGTTCATATTTTGGGAGTCGAAAAAAAATTGTTAACAAAAATTATTTATCTTTTATACTTTTGCGCTAGTGTGACCAATTCAGATTTCAGACGTAAAAACAGTCTTACTAATCCAGATTTCACACTGCAGCATCACCTCTTATAAATCGTAAGTGAGACTTCAGACTTCAACATCTTTAAAAAAAACGCTACCTAAGAACCACGACTTGCCAATAGTCCCTCCAAAACAAAACACAGTCGGTCCTTGAACCAAGTGTTGACCAAAATCAACCTTTGAATTGGCCTAACGAGTCCCGGTCACAATTTGGTCTTGGAACCAAATCATATGACCAATTTGTAACCACCGACTTAACCAGGCCTTGGACCAAGGTGGTAGGCACCAAGACTTTTAGGACCCATTTTTTGGGTCGAGCCTCCGAGTTTTTGGAATTCAATAATTTTATGCATCTCTAAGTGGAGGCCGTTGAGGTGCTTCAAGTTGGAACTGTATTGGACCGAACCAAATGATCTGATGACCTTTAAATCAAAACCAAAAAAATCTACCCCTACAGTTTTAGCCTAACAGATAAGAAGGTGGATATTCTTACAAAATAAGTGGAAGGTCAATGGTTCCACGCTCAGCACCCACCCACATGTTCTTGGGATAGTAGTGGGACCGTTATGGTTAGGGCGTTCCAGGGAGAGTGATGGGACCGTTATGGTTAGGGCGTTCCAGGGAGAGTGACGTTATACCTTTTTTGTAAAATGAAATTGAAATCCAAACCAATTAAAAAAAATAACTTCCATTGAATAGGGTCCACAAGGCTAAGAAGCCTGGGTTTAATGTAAATGTGTATGTACATAGGCAAGAAAAGAGAATTTTCTAAGGTGAAGATGATGGTGAAGCCTTGCAAATGGGACACCAGTTCTTCAATCGCAGCCATTGGTTGATACATGGAGTATGGTACCCATGCCCACATCCCACCCTTCCTATTTCATCTCCTCTCACAAACTCTTCCTGCAAATAATCTTCAAATATTAGTTTAACCAAATCAAACAAAAGCAGTATGTCCCACTGAGGCCTAAGGGTGGGGTGTACGTAAATTTGACCTCTACCCCAAAGAGTAGAGCAACTGTTTCCGTGTGAACCCCCCACGCCCTAGTGCAAAGGTGGAGAAAACAAAGGATAGAACTTGCTCAAGAGATTTGCAAAGAGATGTTCGAGGTCTGGGACTGGTATGTATGAAGAACTGACCTCTACCCCCAGAGAGTAAAACTATTGTTTCTGTGTGAAGACCCCAAGTTTGCGAAAAGAAAGGATAAAACTTCATATTCTGCAAAATCTTTTTATTTAACACTTGTCTCCTTCGTATCAGAACTAGAAGACCTCTACCCCAAAGAGTAACGCAGTTGTTTTCATGAAGACCCTGACTTGTGGTTAGATCCATATGCTATCTCTCAAAGGAAATACATATACTTGTATGTAGACATAATAATGTAACAAATATGTATAGAAAGTTTTTCCTTACAAATACAACACCAGGCCTTCTTTTGTGTAAACATATCCAAATACCATTTAAAGAGTTTTTGAGTCACATGGATAAATAATATAGGATGACATTCACATATGTATGCTCTACTCCTTAGAGGTGGAGGTATGGTATGCTTACATCTTACCCCTGGCTACGTTTGATTTGCTTTGGTTTATTTTACATCTATGGATACCATACATAACTCCGAAGGAAGGTCCTAGGGACTGTTTTCCGGCCTAGAAAAAGGAGAGACCCATCTTTTTTGGGGAGATTCACAAGTCATCTTGTCTTAGCTCAAGCTTGAGGCACAAACACGTACAAAACCATGTATCTTGTTGGGTTAATTATTTTTTTCGGTAACAGTGGGTGTCCGAGTCAACTTGCATGCACATCGACTAATCCTAAGAGCCCTGAAGTTAATAGTCAGACAAACCTTCCAGTTGCCCTGAGGGGCTTGAACCGGTGACCTCCGGAGAGCTAACTTAAGGTCTTATCAGTTGAGCTATCCCTCAAAGTTTAGTTGGATTAAATTTTGACGGAAGCACAGAAGCCAAAGAGGCCAAATTACATGAACGATAATAATAATAATAATTACCTGACAAATACTGCATTTGCTGTCATCAGCACCCCAACTGCACCTCATTCTTCCATCTTCCAATTGCAAAGACTCGTATATGCTTATTCTGATGCATTTTGATAATTCATCTTCAGATAATGCTGTGCTCACTGTACCCATTTTCTCTTCAAGCACTAGTAGTTCCTGTGAGAAAAAAACAGACAACAGTCAAGTATATGATGTAAAACTTTTAGGGCCTGTTTGATTTGCAGGACTTGGAACTGAATTCCATTTGTGTTTGGTTTAAAGGAAAGTCCAGAATTCAAATCTTGATTCAATGAATCCCACAAACATTGAATTTAGAAATCCCAAGGGGGTAGTTAGTATTTTTATGGGATTTCATAAGATTTGTTTGTAATAAAATATGTTAAAAACATTCATTTTTGTAATGATCAATTAATAAAAAGTAATTTAATTATTTTTATAATTACTTATAATTTTTTTATAAATTATCTATAAAGAATGTAATTCAATTCGATTCCAAATCCTAACCAAAAATTCCAAATGCTTCCACGAAATCCAAATCCCTTAAGAACATTTCATCAAATCAAATGCCCCCTTAGTTTATATTTTGGATCAATCTGGTGGTTGCATGAATAAAAGGATACTAACAAGGAGCTCAGGGGCATACCCTCCTTATCACAAAATTGTAGCATTATCATGACTAATAGATCATACTTCCTCCATCCCAAAATAAATGTACATAATGGAAAAGGCAGAGTTTTAGAAATGTGTAATTATCACACTTCTTAATTAACTAATTGACAATTTTACCCTCAATAGTAGAGGGAGTAATAATTTCTCCATCTCATAATTAAGGGTAAGAATTGGAAAATAGGCACTTCTTTCTGAAAGTGAACACTTACTTTTGGACAAACTAAAATAGAAATGTTTGACACTCATTTTGGGATGAAGTATAATATAGATGATGAGACTGCATGCATGAAATGATATTTAAAGTCTCATATACCATGCCATACTTCTACCACGTGATATTTTTATGCCATTGAAATCAGTGAAATGAAACGTTTTCCGTTAAACCATAAAAGGAACCGAGTTTCAAAGGATATATAGAACGTTAAAAAGAAAAATAATAGTTTCAGAGACAAGGAAATAAACCTCGTATGACATGTTATCAATATCCAGTCTCATGTCCCTATGTTGATCATAGAAGTTAAGGCCACCGAGGAATAAATTGGCCTCACGCGACAATAATTGCTGTAGCTGGAGAAGTACAAATAAGAATGATGCTCAAGTTACTTTTTTCATTTAAGGGCAGATTGCATGAAAATGTAACGTACTTCGGTGATTCCTATTTTGTAAAACATGCTTTCAAAACATTCATTTTGGTACCCCAAATGTGACATCTCAAACATAGAGGTACCTAGTTTACATATGAGAATCAAAAAATGCATGAAAAACCAACTTACTTTTCAATTCCTATTTTGTGTAACGTAATTTGGTCTAGATGTTTGAGATCACATTCGAGGCACCGAACAAAATGGGAATCAAAGCAATTGCATTTGCATGCAATTTACCCTTCATTTAAAAAATAAAATATTGTTTTAATGTCAGGAGGGTATCGCAAACCCTTTCCCCACAGCTATGTGCAAGTTTAAACCCATTTTTTTTTATTTCTTTTGTTTATAGAAACCAAAGATTGATTACCTCATATGTTAACTCCTCATCTTGTTCGATCCTATCAAGTGCTAGCAGTACCTGCAAAGCACCAAATGACAAACACAACATTATTACCACTGACATAGGACAAAAAAAATAAACAACGTCCTCCTATAATCCCTTCTTGAGGGAAGTTCATTTAGGAACCGTAAATATTTTGAGAACCTATGAAAAAATTATTCTTGATGAATATATCTGAATATTCATGACTGTTATTCATAATGAATATCATGCATTTCCATTATTCACGATATTCATCATGAATAATGCATGAATAGTTGGTTATCACGTTTCTCAAAATTATTACCGGTTCTCAAATGAATCTGCCCCATTCCTTGTAAATACTTTGAGAACCGTAAGAACCTAACTATTTATGAATTGTTCATGATGAATACATCTAAATATTCATGAATATCATGCCTTTTCATTATTTGTGATATTCATCATGAATTGGTTCTCACAGCTCTTAAAATATGTACAGTTCTCAAATGAACCTGCCCGATCCTTCTAAACCCATAGAAAGAGGATGCTTAGTGACAAAACTCAGAAAAGTTACATCTGCAACTCCATCGATGTTATAATGCCGTGTTCCATTATGATTCACAAAGCGAACAACAGGATGGTGATCTGTAGAAGTAACAGAAACCATAGTCGATGACGCATCATTAGTACTAAGACTGGTCTCAGTTACCGAATTCTCTATAGAAGGCCAAACTATTTGAGTCTGTATATCCGGAATCACATTATTAGACTGGACCAACGATAAATTGTCTCCATGTAACCTTTTCATGGATCCTGTTGGAGGGTCCACGTTCATCGACCTTCGAGTCCGAACTGATGAACCACCATTCGGTTTGCAAGCTGTCCAATTTCTTGAATGCCCTTCATTTGCTGATATCCCACTAACCCTCTTCCCTTTACCAGATGAACTGCTTTCTCCTTGAGTGAATCTTTTCTTCACTGTACTCCTCTTTCCGCCATTGTTTGACTCACTATTTGGATCTTTTTGCCTATACCCATCTGATATCGTATTGCATCTTAAACTTTTCAACCCATTCTTGCCGTTTTGACTTTTTTCCACGATCCCAAAATCAGTAATTTGGGGTGCAGACACCTTCCTAATCCTGGTGCTCAATGATGGAACTTCAGTTGTCTTAATAGCTGTAGTATTTCTAGATTTCAACTTACGTTCTTTATGACTTCCTGAGGCATTAAGTTCTTGAATTTCAGACTCATCTGAAACACTGCTTAATTCAGTGGGGATTGTTTCCACTTTTGAAGACAGTTTTTTCTCTGATTCCAAGAGGGATTTTTTCACTGAAGAGGAATTCTTGGATGAACCAGATGTTACTTCCTTGCCAGATGATGCACGGAAGGAAGACTTGAAAGGTTTGGGTTTCTCTAAGCATTTATTTTTAGTACCTTTTGTGTGGTTAAGTCTGCCACAGCAACCAATTCGATTGCAGAATTGAGAAGTTCCATCTCGAGAGCCAGCAGTGTCTTTTAAAGCAGTGACTGATCTCTTTCTTGGGGCAGCGATCCCAGCAACAGCTTGTTTGCTATAATATACATCCATATAACTGTGTCCTTAATTGCCTTATCTGCCACAAAATTTTCTCATGTTAGAATTTAAGACCTTTTGGTTTGAATTTGATATCAATAGTTGATTAATTCAGCTGAGAAAACAGTATGTTTACACTAAAAAAACCAATTCACACACCTCTTACCATGCTGATTTCATGGATATTTCTCGTTAAGAACAATTGTTAACATCTTTAACAGCATCTTTTATTAAACTAATAGCAACCACACAGAAAACTATATATTATTAACATCTTTAACAATATCCCACCCCTACGCCCTGTTTTCGAATAAAATATACTTGGTTCTTTGGGTTCGGTTTGGTTTGGTTAACAGAATCTTAGGATATGTATATGTGTGTAGATACAAAAAGCAAACAAGCCCACAACCGCCTTTGTCACCTTGCATACTTCCTGTAGCTCATGTGTACGATGTTTTATTCTAATTTTTAGTCCTAATATGTTTTAACTCTGAATTTGATCATCCTCTGTAAGCCAAACCAAACAAGTCGAGTATATCCTACTCAGAGGTGGGGTCTGGGGTGGTAAGTAAGATGTACGCAGACCTAACCTCTACCTAAAGAGTAGATTGACTGTTTCAGTGAGGTTCCCTGGCTAGTGAAAAGTGTATGAAAGAGAGAAAAACATATATGTTAAAATTTGAAAAGCTAGATGAGAATAAACAATAGTCATAAAACTAGAAAGAGATAAAGACAGAAATGCTAAATGTTGATAAACCAGCTTAAGTCTTATCCATGATTATTTGATTTATCGTCTCTTTTAAATTTTCTAACAGAAGACAAGGATTGCCCTTCCCTTACCTGTGACTAACAATTGAGGAATATCATCAAAGCTGCATAGCGTAGCACCTGAATTGAGAGTTTTAGTGATGGTAATCACAGGTCAGCAAATTGAACCATCAAACCCGTGGATACTTACCCCATCGGGATTTGCACCATTGATGTCACTCCATTAATGGATCTTGACATGAAGAAACCCAATGAATTCTAGTTGAGAACAGGTTCACTTGTATCTTAGAACTACATATCCACATGGATGAAAAACCCTGCCTGCTAACTTCTCCATCTCTTTTTTCCCTTTTTTTGGTATATGTAGTATTTCTATACGACAAAACTCAAGATACTGATCAGCTTTGGTGAGGGTGAACCCTTGGCCTCCGAGGAGGTTGGATCTACCGGTAACCCAAATACCACTAGGCCAAAGACCCTTTGGTACTTCTCCATCTCTTTAGGGTGCCTTTGGTACGCTGGATAGACAGGATAAAATAAAACAAAATTTGATGTCCTGCGTTTGGCATGATGTTTGATTGAGACAGAATAGAACCTGAGTGCCGAAATGGGTGGAACAAAAAATATAGGACATGGGACAAGATTGTTCAATTACTAAGCTACCCATGTCAAATTGAAACCCTAAAGCCTTCAATGATGGTCATCAAGATTGAATACCATGCTCTTTTGGTCAATTACCTTTATCAAATTGCTTCAAATCCTAGAACAATTTGGCATGATGTAAGCCTTCAAACCGGACAGTAAGATACATAAAGCCTCACTGAAAGTGTCATTCGAATTCATCAAGAACCCGCCAGATTAATCCTGAATATTAAGACTGTTTTTGACAGGTTGATGCCCGGTTTCATCTAAACCTCCGGGTCTTGTACCTATGCACACCCCTATTGGCAACCATACCCTGCTTCTTAGAAATTTGGGAATGAAATCATTTGTCTACATAGTAATCATGGAGGATTTTCATGTAGAAAACCCTTGCCACAGGGAAATTTACTCATCATATCATATAATTCTTGTTAAAATCCCACGTCAATTAGACTTGAACCATTTCTCTTCAATATATGTTCGAACCCTTCCCTCTCAAGGACTCTTTTGGATAGCAATCTAATGGAGTCCACCACTATTCTCACATGGTATCAGACGCAAGGTGGACTTTACATCAATCTGTACCTATCCAACTAGGACCCATCCAAACCCCTCTCAAATATGTGCCCATCCAGCCTCCGTTGGAGGGATCTCCGGCTAGACTTGGATCGTTTCTCTTCAATATATGTTGAAACCGTGGCTCTTTTGGATATTAATTTAACGGGATTTCACATATTTTCACAGTTCTTTTTATCTTTCAATTTACTCAGGGCTCTGTCCAGAAACAAGAAACATACACAAGCACATGATAATATGAATAAAAAAAACTAGGAAATTATATACCTCCTTTCACGTAGAGATAAAATTGCAATAACAATCATCAACCAATTTTACCTAGTGAATTTGAATACCCTAAAACGTCAATCAGCAAATCAATCAATCAATCAAATCCATAAATCATGCTGGTTAACATAATCGAACAAGAATGACGTAAACAGATGGAAGAACATGTATTTGAATCAAAAGCAAGATAAACCCCAATCGCTGATGATCGAAATTAGAATGAAGAGGGTTTGTATTTGGTTTTACCTTATTGTTGTTGGGTAATCAGATAATGCAATCAACAGGAAGTGGAGGATTATGGGGAGAGAATCCGCAGGTGATGTGGTACTAATCCATCCACTATATAATAATAATAATGATAATAATAATAATAATCCGAGGTATGATGATGATGCTGCAAAGATTTGAAAGAAGACAAAGTAGAATTGAGCTAAAATGCCGGCCTGCCAAGAGAAATTGTCGCATTCGCACCTCAAAATCAGATTGTTCAAGGTCAACGGCCGTCGAGGGTGGATCGTTAGTTTCTTCATATTTATACACAGCTTTTTAACCATGGATGCCATGCCAACCTGCCAACCATGCTCGCCTTGGCCCTTCCTTTTTATTTATTAAATGTATATTGATATCCGAACGACCTTGCATGGATCTCGACCGTAACGAAGTTAAAGTGGTGTTATTTTTTATTATAAAATTCTTTATTAATTTATTATAAGTTAAAATAATTTAGCTTCTTCAAAAAAAAATTATTATCGGTTTGACACCGGCATAAGGTTTTTATTCAAACACTCAAAAGTGCTTATTACTGGTGTCCAACCGGAATAAGTCAATAAATTATTTTTATAAGTAATCTCAAACACCCCTTAAGGGTGCGTTTGGTGCGCGGACAGGACAGGACATAACAGGACAGGACAGGACATGACAGGACAGGACAGGACAGGACATGACAGGACAGGACAGGACAGGACAGGTGTTCAGCGTTTGGTAAGACATAACAGGACAGGACAGGACAGGTTAAAATGACCAATTTACCCCCAGAATCAAGTTTAGTGTTTTTTTCTCTATGCTGAGGATTTGTTGGTGACTTTTGTCTGTCTTATGAAGACAACAGTTTAGTGGGTAACAGCACACACAAGTAATTTGTAAATCTAGATTGGCTAGACTTGATCCAAGGAACTATACAAGTATGGTGGGAGGCCTAGAGTTTGTCTATTGCATGGGTTCCATCTTATGATATCAGACCCAGCCAAGACTCGTATCGCCTTTGTCATTTTAGATCATGATATTTTTTCTTTCTTATTTGTATGGTRAGATCTAGCAGTCAACTAATTATTCCGACTTCACAACTACTATGGACTAAGAATTGTATTTATAGCTCGTATAATTGCAAATTTTGTGTGCAGAGTCGCYTGTATTGAAAGAGGATAAGAACCCTAGAATCAATCGGGTATCAATAGATGGAGGCGATGGAGGCGTCTGTTGACAAAGAGAAATTATTGATGCTGATGCTTCTAAATCTGGAAAGTAAGAACCCTAGAATCAAAACCGACAGAAAATAAGAACCCTAGAATCAATCGGGTACACATAGATGGAGGCGATGGAGTCGATGGAGAGAAGAGAGGCGATCGATTGCGTACCTGGGTATGGAGAGAAGAGACGCGATGGAGGCGATGGAGGCCGTCGATTGAAGGTCGCCGGCCGTCGACAGGAGGTTAAGATGGAGAGGATGGAGCGATGAAAGTTACGTTCTTCTTGCAGCCGGGTGGGAAAAAGGGTAATGAGGGAAATAGGTTGTGTTCCACTTAGTTCCAGGGGGGTAGGATGGAACATGCTTGTCCAATGCTTATCCAAGTTAGTTCTACTTAGTCCAATATTAGGCCACACCAAACACAGGACAAATGTGTTCTGTCCTGTTCTGTCCCATCCTGTCCAGCTTACCAAACGCACCCTAAGAGTTAAAAGAAACCCTTTAGAGACACTGAAATTAACAAATATGATCGTTTTTATTTTGACTGATTTAAATTGTAAAACAGCTATAGATTATTATAAATTTATTTCGAAACTTTTATGTTAATCAAACGAGTGAGCAAAATAATGGATAGTGTAGTGATCAAAACTAGTCTTGTTTGACCAATATGTGCAGTGGGCATTGAGTCGGATTTTTGATTTTTTATGCATGAAAATAAAACTGAAAGATAAACGAGTGGGACATTCGTAATTTAAATAAAACCATTTTAAGTTAACAAGTTACACGACATATTAAAAAATTAATATATAGTTCAGTTTGGTCAAAAGAGTCGGGTGGTCATTATCATGCTTTAGTTGAAACCAAATAACCACGTTTCAACTCTGTAACTCAACTATTAAATTAGCCATCAAGGTTGTATTTGATACATAGGACGGGACATGATAGGATAGGACAAAACTTATTGTCCCATGTTTGGCGCAGCATGAGACAGAACAAGAACCCACTGTTTCATGTTTGGTGCGACATAAGACAGAGACAAGAACCGAGACAAGGCAAGACAAAAGAGGTTTTTCTTGTTCCACCAAAACAGGTGGAATAAGATGGGACAAGAATGAGACAAAAACTAAAATATTATTAATTTACTCTAGTTTGATATATAACCTTAATATAATATTTGTTTCAATGGTCATCACCTCAAGTTTCGGTTGCTGCCAGCCTGCCACCACCATCGACACCTCCTCTTCCACTACAACAACATCCTTCACCGCCTCCACAACCACCGTCCACCAAGTCCATCGCCACCTCTACCATAGTCGACCATCCATTGCCACCACCACTACCGCCATTCGCCACCTCCAACTCCTCTTCTACTACAACAATCTCCTTCACCACCATCCATTGCCACCTTTACAACCACCATCGGCTACCGCCCACCACCACCACCACCGTTGGCCACCTTAAAATCCTCCTATACTGCAACAACATCCTCCATGACCTCCACAACCACTGTTGGCCACCTTCAACTCCTCCTCTACTTTAACAACCTCCTCCACACCATCGGCCACCACCATTCATGCCACCTCACCTCCACCATAACCACCACCACAACTATATTCACTACATCAGCCACAACTACCTCCTCCATCGTTGTCAACTGCCAGCACCACCATAATCCACCATCTTCATGTCCTCTATAACCGCCGCCGTTCACCACCGCCCATTGCCTCTACCTATATAATCACCGCCCATTGCCTCTACCTCCACAATCACCGCCCATTGCTACTACTACTACCGTCGACCAACACCACCTCCACCATAACCACCGCCCATTGCCACTACTACCGTTGGCCAACACCACCTCCACCATAACCAAAACCACCTCCACCGCCACCATTACTACCATCAATTATATCAATTTTTTAATTCAAATTTGGTACCATTATATATGTATCTATTCATTTATATGAAAATTGTGTACAAATATTTATAAATTAAATTATTTAATTATTTACTTTATTTGTGTTAACTATAACTATTGTATAACATTTAAAATCATCAAATAACTCTTGGAGCTAACTTGTCTAGTTATGTCCCGTCCAGTCCTAGTCGTACCAAACATCAGACATACTCTTGTGTTGTCCAGTCTTGTCCAGTCCTACCCTCTTGTCCTGTTCTGTCCTGTCATATTTTGTCCTGTTCTGTCCTGTCATATTTTGTCCTGTCCTGTTCTATCCAATCATGTCTGCATACCAAATGCTATTTAAGGTTGCGTTTGGTACATTAGACAGGGACAAGACAGAACAGGGATCCTTGTTCCATGTTTGACATGAATTTTATGTGGAACAGACAGGAACAGAGTGGAACAGGCTTGTTCCACCCCTACCCCATGGAACATGGTGGAACAAACTTATATTTTACCAATATAACCTCAAAATAAAACTTAATTCTCTTCTAAACATCAAATACATCTTCTTTTTTTTTTTTTACATTTTATTCATTCTTTAAATTTTATTTTTTCTATTTTATGTTTCTTAAACTTTCATTTTACTGTCCTCGAAATATTATTTTTATACGGTTTCTATATTTTATTAATTAATGTAATTTATTATATATTAATAATAAAAAAATTAATGTAGAAAAGAGATAAATGGGGACATGTAGATCCAACCTAAGATACACCTCATATTCTACGATGTTTATTGGACAACTTACATTTGTACTTTCATTCAGTTGTTATTTTGGAAAACATATATTCAGATATTGCAATTTTAAGATTGTGTGGTTGGGAAAACAAGTCTCTTGCAACGTCTATAATGTGATATGAATTTTAAGAAAATGAAAGTACGTACTTTTTTTATGAAATGGAAGGATTTGATTTAGATTTTGATATAAATATATAATAGAAAGGATCCCATAAATCTAAATGGCCAAGAATAGAGAAAAAAAAAATCTCAGGGTCATTAGCATCTATGTTAACTTTGCGGTTATATTTTACATAATTTGTTAATATTCTGTTGTAGTATGGTTACAAGCATCTCTAATGGGAGATTCTCATAAAACCACCATCAAAGGGAGTTCGTATAAGAACCTTACATCATTTGATTTCTTATAAGAACCTCATATAATTTGAGTTTTTATTTGGCAAAACCAGATATTGAGTATATCCTATTTACTTAAAGTATATATATATATATATATATATATATATATATATTTTATCATAAGCCGTTTGATGAGGGAAACAAGTGACAATGTATTCACGAGTCTATGGGATCAAGGATGAAAATAGATATGGGAATTTGACACATGGTGATGGTACCTATGGAGACTTACCCCTAATAAAATGGAGATTTAGCTCCTTGATGGGTAACAAGACGGACACAACAGTCGATTTCTGTACCTAAAGCAGGTTCATGTAATGTTGAGGATGATATCATGATACAGTCTACCCCTAATCCCGTTATATAAGAAAACCACAAATAAAAGACAAACCTGAGAACACCTTTGTCTCCCTTGATAATAAAATCAAGGGTCAATATTATAATGGCATATTTGTAAATAAGTAAAAAGATAGGGTAATTTACACAATATGATATATTTGATTAGAGGGAAACACTGGAAAATAACAAAGGAAATGGTACGCCTCCTACATTTCAGCTATAATAATCTCCTACCATATCATTGATCATAAATAAATATCAACTCGATGTATTTTATTTATTCAAACAAAAATTAGAAATCCTATCTCTAATTCTATTCTTGCCAAATCAAATGAAAGTCACCTTCAAATCGTTTCTTTATCCAAACGAAAATTGTAGAGCTTATCTCTACTTCCATTATTGATGACGATTCACCTCGAAACTCTGTCAAAAAAGAGAGAGAAAATCAACCTTCTTCCCAAACATTGTTAATCGAGTCGTGTCTCAGTATAATGTCGAATGAAGTATGGTTTTTATCAAGTTTTCATCTCCTCATTTCTAGGGATTTTACCCCATGATTACTTCCCAAATCTTTCATTTATAATCAATCATT